CTAGCTGAGGTTTCAGCTGAAGAAAGTAGCTTCTAAGTCATGTAGTGAGCAGTAGGGTTTTGGACAGAAGGCATTTGACCTGAGAGTTCATTGCTAGTCTGAATGTCTAGGTGTATGGGTGCTTTCCTGAATGTGAGTGTTTGGCCAGAGAATTCCCTTCATGATCCAGGGTGTGTTTTTAATTTTCCAAAATAACTCTGATTTCAAAGTGAGTATTCATCAACAGTGTGGTTTTTTGTAATGGCACTAGTGGAATGAAGAGACAAATATAATTGACGTAGCTAAATTCAGAGGCTGAAACAGTCATTCCAAGAGCAGGTTTGTCGAAAGGCTGTAGCCGGTTCTGGCATGCACTTTTGGAAACACCCACCCTGGATTCCCAGCTGTGCTTCATGTCCCCTTGTCACTGCTTTGCAGGGATGGTGTCACAGGGCAGTTGACTACAGCATCTTGAGGCTTGGGATTGCTTCTATCCTTTGTCCTCTATACGTTGCTCATTTACTTGACAAACAGTTTTAAAAAAAAAAAAAAAGTAAGTACTGAGGTGGGAATGAACACAAACGTATGGATGTCTGTTCAACAATTTATATATTACTAAGCATAACTCCCACATCCAGGGTGTCCTCTATAGTCAGAGGGACAATTTATTTTCTTCATCCAGCTTGGGCCCACGTTGAAGACAGAAGTGAGCTGATCGATATAAAACTGAAAGTGTCTTGTCACTTTTTTTCTCAGTCTGCTAGTCTTCTGCCAGATATTTGCTGCTACAGGGTTGGTCCTTGGCAGAGTTCTCAGTCTACCAGATTGCCGTCATGTATTTCCTTCTTTGGATGACAAGGTGTGGCAATACTTTCTGACAAAAATTAGTAAAGTTTTAGGGACTTTGTGTGAGTCTTTGTTTCCACACCCTGTCCCCTTTTGCTTTTGCTCTCCGTATGATCAATCTGGAGGACGAGGTCTTTTCCTCTAACCAGATACCACAAGGTGGAGGCTGCAGTACAATGTGACATTGGGACTCCTCATTCCTCACAAATTTTGATAAGCTATAGCATGTGAGGAGAGATCAGATGTTGTTCCCCTCGAGTGGTGATAAATAGAGGAAGCATGCTTACAGGTAGGAAGCTTGAAGGTGGGAAAGGTTACAGCACAAACAGCCTGTGAGATCCAGGGAGGATACTTGAAATAGTCTCACTTTAAGCTGACTGAATAAAGAACTGACACAAGCTCATAGCATGGGCTGAGATAGTCCTGCCCCAGCAGAGGCAGCAAATTTTGTAGTCAAGAACTGGGAGAGCCAGTGCCTTGGGACTATAACGGGTTTGGCACAAATCAGGTTAGAGCTTAAATACGAGTTTCTGACTGAGAAATACCATGCAGGGTGAATATATCTCCACCTTGAAAATTTAAGCCTACTTTAGGCAACCTACAAGTGCAATTTTTAAAATTTATTTATTTACTACGCCATGTATCATGCAGCTGTAGAAGGGCATAGAATCTGATTTCTGAACTGAAATTATGTTGAGTCTGAAGGAAAATCATTGCAAATCTAAGCCTGGAAAATTATTACTAAGCACTGAAAATAGCCTGTTAAAGCAAGAGCAATGCATAAAGATTTGGGCAAGCTCACTTCCCTATTCACTGTGAGATGTTTATTCCTCTGCTGCGTTCACTGCCAGCAGGCTTTTGATATTTCCTAAATCACACAACCCAAAGCACCTTGCTGTGTCCCCCCCGGAACAGTACTTCTCTGGGAGAATGAGAATGCTAACCTCAAGAATGCAGGAACAGATGTATTTGTTGTGAGACAGTGCTGAAATCTGTCTTTTGCTGAAAATTGTTGTCTTTAAACAAACACTTGGTTCCGAAACTGTAATACCATACTTTCTCATAAACCTAACAGACTGCTATATAAGGCCCAAATCTTCTTCCCTTCTTCAGATCTGTAGGAGCTTTGCCGTGGTTTTAAACAGGGCGTGACTAGCTTGATAGCATACATTTGACTGAGATGAGCATTAAAAAACCCTCAAAATCAATCCATATTTAACATGCTTAATTTAAAGTTGATATATGGTGGCATGTGTATAATCAGACAGCTCTTAGTTTAAAAAGCTCAAAACAAACAAAAAAATCCAAATAAAGGGTTACTAAAATCCTAACTTATTTTGTAATCGTGTATTGGAGTAGCAGTTGGTTTCGCTGGTCTGGTCTGCCTTTCTGCTGGCTGGGTTCCCTTTCTGTGTGACAGATGTGCTATTTATGGAAGGGGATTCTGAATATTTTAAAGCACTGACTGTTAGGATCTCATTCCCAGCCTTTAAAATGAAGGAGCACAAAATGCCAAATAACTTCCCAAAGCAAAACCGCCAAATTAAATAGCTAACTATTTAATCATTACAAAAGAAAGAGGGGGGGAAAAAAGCAAAATCAGATTATCTATTTTTTTACAAGAAGTAAATACGTACATACAGCTGTCTAGTTGTTGCTGTGCAACATTTTCTGGTTTAATACAATATTCGGGTATTAGTTTTCACTTTTTAAAAAGGGTGCTCTTTTAGGGGAAAAAAACCCCATAGGGTACACAGGTTCCTAGAGAAAGAATATGTGGCTGAAAATTTGGCTGCTTTCTGTCTCGGGTATTAGCAGGTCGAATGAAAGATAGCGCTTCTCTGTACAAATCTGGCCTCACAAGGATCTATTTCTTTCAGCAGTTGGCTAGAAACCATTTATGTTCACTTATACATATAGTAAACAATATTTACCTGAAGAAATCTTTCAGTGAAATATTTTCAGAGCTAACACGTTAATCCTCACAATTCTGTTCATGTGTTGGGTATCAGCTTGCGGTATTTGTGGGCAGAGAGATAGGAAGCTGTGAGAAGTCACTGAAATAGCATGTGGGATTCTGCTCTCTGAACAGGTAGATCTTACGGTTTGTTTTACCTCACCTGGTGGTTTAGCCTTCTGGGAAGGTAATTCAGGTTCTAGGAAACTGCAGCATGGTTCTCTCATTCTCCCTTTGGAGACACAGCGACAATGAAAATAAACACAGTTTTGCTTATTAGGCTTTTTTTTTAAAATTCATATTAGCAGATTTTAATGCTTTTTTTCTCTGTATTTTTTTCATTATATATGCAAAATATTTTACTGTATTTCAAAGTTTTGCAGAAAATAAGCCTTTTTACCACTTATTCATAAAAATCTAATTCCCACAATTACTCTTGCAGTCTCTGCAGAGGGTGATACCAATTTAATGTATGCGGCTGAACAATGTGCATGCTATTAATCTCAGAAGGTAACAGAAAGATGCTGAGTAGGTGATGTGAAATTTTTAATTATTATTATTATTATTTTTGCAGCTGTGGTTTAGTATTTCAAAATTATTTTTTTCTTAAAGACGACAGCACTTTAGTATCTGCATTGACCTCCATGATGTCAGAATGTCATTGTGCAACCGTAGCTAAGAAAAGCCTCCGAGAAAAAAAAACAAAGGAGCTTCGCATCTTCCAATAACGTGAGATGTGCATATACAGTACGTAGCATTTTGGAATTCATACTGTGGTAGTGAGTCGTTGCTTTCAGTTTGATTAGACAATCATTGTTTCGTTTTCCTTGATTTGACAGTGAGTATGCTTGTACGCTGCTTAAGTCTTCTTAGTGCTATCTAGGTCAGTATACTTAGGATAGCTTTTATGTTCTGTAAGTCTGACAGATACCGAGCCTGACAGAGATCCGCATCATTTTCTTTTATTTATTATATCTGAGGACAGAAAAATATTTTATAATTAATCAGAACTGTATACCACATAGCACCTACCGTTTCTGCATTGCAGATATATTTAGCTCTAACACTGCTTGTGGTTAACAGGGTGTAGCGTAGACACAGACAGCTGATCATGCAGTCAGACCCTGTGCTCGTGTGGTTTGTCAATACTGCTCAGGATTTTGATGGACTGTGAGAGAACAGAAAGGAAAGAAAAAGAAATGTTTTACTCGTATGAACGTTAGACCTTTGGTTATGCTATTTTTGCCATCATTCTCTTTTTATTTTATTTTTTAATTCGGAGACTTAAAAATTAGGAAAGCACAGCAAATGCATCCAGGATTTAATATGTGCGACGTGAAATCTTTCTGCATCGAGAGGATGTTGCTGTAGTCAATCCAGCGTTTCTCCAATAAGCAAGAAGATTGTTTTGTTTTCCTCGGCAGGCGGACTCAGCCATTGCACAAGCAGATTTTGATAAGAGTTTGAAATGCCTGCTACTGTATCGTTGTAGAATTTGGAGTTTGCTAACAGTGTTAGTGACTGGAGCTCATCTTGCATCACCAGTTGATGACAATTTTCTTTGTTCCCTCCCACCCAGTTGAACCAAGACTCTGTAGCTGATACGCAATGTCACTTACAACATTAATCAGATACTGCATTTAAGGTGAGCTGTCCCTTGCCTCCTCCCTTACCAGAGCTGTGCTGCAGTATGTATCTTACTCCTGCAAGCCTAAAATGGCAGGCAGGATTAACGTTGCTTGTGCTGTGTGCATGCTGTGTATTGAATTCATTATCCTGTGCCTAGTATCTCAAATGTGAGTATGTAAATGGTCTGTGTGCCATGTCATGCAGTAGCGAAGACTTGTTTGTGCTTCATTACAGGCTTAGATATTTGAGCATCACCTTAAGAATTCTTTTTTCATTTGCAATGTGGTGAGCTGTTAGCTTGTCATCACATTCAAACTACATTATTAGCCCTTGGAAAGGAAGGGAAAAAAAAAAAGCAAACTGTGCTTCCAGATGGTGTCACCCTTTTTCTTCTTGCGTTTACTGTAGTTTAAATAATGTATATTGTATTGTTAATTAATGTGAATATCGAATTAAAGCACTTGAAACTTACATATTTATTATGCAGGTAGGAGGCACGTCGAATCTATTTTTAACTCTTACGCAGTCCACGTTGTGCAATGGGCTTTGGTTGTCGAGTTTATATTTTCAGCTGTGATATCAATAGGCTGATTTTCAGTAAACGTGACAAGTGGCCTTTGCAGTGGTCAGCTTCAAGCTTTGAACCCTCTGAGGAGGAGGGAAAAAAAAAACCACAACCTTCTATTGCTGTTTCGGAAAACCTTGGATGAGGACATTTTTTTTCTCCCACTCCTGCTTTCCCTATTGATCAACTCGGTTCTCCTGATCACGGTCTATTCAAGCTGCTTCCCATCTGATTTTTGACAACTGCTTCTAAAAAATTATCAAGACGACCAAGAATAGAACTTGCCTCCATCGCTTTACATAAAAATGGCTGGGTGCATTGCCATGCTAACACTGCACTAAGTGCTACACGCAGGTAGGTTGAGATTTGCATGTTTTACTGATTTCTTGGACAGTGATGCAAGAACATGAAATGGGCTTTGGAATGTAGCTTTCGGTTAAAAAATGTATTAAACTGTTAATGAAAACAACCTAATATTAAATTGTTGGCTTCACATATTGGCATGACAATTGTTCTTATCTGTTTTTAAAAAAATCTATTGTGAAAGTAGAGCAGTCATGTCTGTTAAAATAATCATATGTACTAAGGGCGTGGCAACGCTTATGCAACAAAAGAATTTTTGAAAACCCTATTGATTCAATTGCATTTTAAAGCTCACTATAAGCATTACTAAGCTTGCAATTAAAATGCAAAAATAAAAATTGAGGTAGATAAGGAAAATGAAAAATATTTAAATTCTGTCGTAAGCGGGTTTGTGTTTTGTGCGAAATCTTGAATAAAGATTAATATGCTTTAATGCTTATATTTTCAGTATTAGCTACAAACATAAACCTGCAGTATTTCTTTTTATTTTAAAGTAGAAGGATTTTAAAGAGAGAGATTGACATAGATGGCCCTGTCAGCTTAAACTGAGTATCAGTTCATTGAAGTGTGTTTTACTTCACACAAAAAAAGGTTATGAAATAAAAACTTAACAGCCTTAGGTACAAAAACGTGAATTTGAGCATTAAGAATAAAAATTATGAGTATTGTATTACTTACACCAACTTTTGTAATGTATATGTTTCAGATTAATAGTGGGCCAGAACCAGTTTCCTTGGCAACCAAATCCTTTTAAAAGGTGCAATAGTAGAGATGTAGAAAGATGTTATTCTCCTTAATAGTAATATCACAATGCAAATGGAAATTTTGCAGTTGTTTCCTTTTGGTTCTAAATGAGAATCTGATCTCATTTTATGTTTCCATGCGGCTATCATTTCTTAGATGATGCCATGTTTATAAAGCTGTACACAACAAAAACCTGTTTTATTCCTGTTTTGCATTGGTTGTTTCCAGAAACGTACTCCGGTGTCTTTTTCTAATTTAGCCTAGTCTTGCATGTAGGTCAAGGTTTGTACTGTGTGTGTATAAAGGGATAGTTTCATTATCACAAGTATAAAAGTATCACTGAAATATTTAGCAGCTGAGAAATGCAGAGAATCAGAAGTATGTTTAAAGCTTCTTTCACCTTTGCTGAATTCAGCCACAGTAATGCTAATAAACCTTTCTTTAAATAGTGGACCTATTCAGAAGTTCAGGTAAAAACCTGTGTTTAACCACACTGGAAAAGAACTTCTGCCGGATCTTAAACAAGCCTTTATAGAATCGGCTCACTTGTGGTCTGCGGTAATTTGCAGACTTTACAGATTTTGCAAAATTTAACTATTGTAATTCCTTATTTCTATTTTTAGCTAATATTTTTAACAGTATCAGTAAAGTTAAACCTTATGTGTACCACAGGTGACTGCTTATACAGAATCAGATGTTACTAAATGTCTCCACTGAGCTTATAACATAGTGTATCTCCTTGTGAATCTCCTTTGTACGTGACTTGAGAATTCTCACTACTGCAATGAGACTTTTGCAGCAGGGTAGCCATTTTCCTTTCATGTCCTTGACTTTAAAATGACGAAGTATATTTTGTGTGGATGAGGACCCAGCACGGAAAATTAATGTAGACGAGGTATTTAGAAGCACAGCCAATTATCAGTAATAGCCTTGACAGTGTCAGTAATATCAAACTAATTCTCACTTATTTCTAAATATATCAGTTCAGTGCATTCCAAATAAACAGAGTATTAACTGTTCAGGAATGTGACTTGTGATATGTCTTGATAGGGCAATTCTTAATAATGATAATAAAACCATTTGTTTCATAATTATGAGATTAGTTTGACGCAGTGTGATATTCCCCTGTTCCACCTAAAGAAGCAGAACTGAAAACGTAATAAGCAGCATCTCTCAAGTGACATATTAAAGTTTGCATTATTTTGGAATTTGATTTATCTCCAGGAGCTTGCTTCTGCTGATTATTTTCCTGTCTGAAATGTTAATATGGATTGCGCCATTACATGTAGTCATCAAAATCGCATTTCTTCGTTTATTTCTTGTGTGGTTATTTTTAAAGGAAGTTGCTGAGCAAACGCTGTGTAGAAGCAGTCTATTTATTGCCGCTGATATTTATCTTTAGAAAAGATGGGGCACTTAGCGATAAACTGTTTTTATTATGTCTTTGTGTTCAAACATACCCACTCAAGGCATTTAAAAAAAGTGTAGTTCCGTTACATGAGCATGCTTTGCTACGGTTGTTTTAAATCCATCTGCAAATTTGCTCTTTTGTTAGGGGGTGCAAGTCCTCTTGTAATTAATATGACTGAACTCAAGTGCTTTCATGAGTCTGGAAAAACTCACTGGCAGCCCGTGAACGGTAATTTCTTCTTGCTAAAGAAACTGATTTATTTATTAAGGAGGAGTCTAGTAATTAGCAAGCTGTTTGCAGTCTGACTGTTGTACGTGGGTTGCTGTGTGCCTTTCAGTGGTCGTTATATCCAGCTAATGCGGAGTGTCAGAATGTTACAGCCAGAGGTGCCGTAAGAAATCTCGTGTAAACTTCATCCATTTTATTCTCCGTGGCTAAGGGGGCTAACTGGGGCACGTAGGAGCAGGTGCAGTTTTTCACACCTCCAGCACAGCCTGCAAATGTTATTGTTAGGGGCGCTTGGGGTTTTTTTGAGTTTTATCGTAGAAGTCTGATTGCTGATATTGAATCCTCCCTTTTATAATTGAAATGTGCTTTTATCCATGCAAATTCCATTTCTGCTTAACAGAAAAATCTATACAAAGCATAAGTAAAAATTAAGTCAAACTAAAAGTCATTCACTCAGACACTATCCTACTTGCTTTTCAGTGACCCTTCCGATTAAGGTTACTTCTGCCTCTAAACTTCATTTTAATTTGAAACTGCGGGTGTCTCAGTGTGAAACTATCTGTGTTCAGGCAATATTTGTCAGACTGAGACAGACTCTGGTACTAATGAAAAGGTACCAATTAACCCTTTTAGGGCATCTAGTGTCTGTTGTACTTTATTATGTGAATTGCTTTATTATGTTTCAAAAGGGCTGTATTATGCATGCTACATTTGAATTCTAGTAGTGTCAAATTTGGGAATTCTTTAGCTTTTGTAAGATCTTTTACTGCTGGAGCCCTCCAAATGTGATGTTTAAGATTCCCATTCCCCATAATATTTCCCAGTCATTTGTGAATACGACTTTATTGGTATTTGAAGTAATAATAATGGCTTAATGCAATTTTCTTTCATTCTGGCCTTTGTTATGGGCAGATGTGAGCTATAAAATACTTATTCAAATCGAGGTATACTAAAAATGTACTGAGGTAAACGAACAAAAAAAAAGAGCTCACCTTCTTACCTTTTAAAGCCGAAGTAATAGATCCTGTATTTCCTGTATAATGTTATCTATAAAAGTATATGGTATATTTTCAAATGGAAGATGGATCTATGTATTCTTAATTGCTGCTATGTAAATACCTATCAGCTGAATCATAAGGCCTTATTGGAACAATTTAATTTTGTTTAGTATCTTTGAAATAAAGCCCTGTTCTGAATAATTTTTACACTATTATATGAGAACCTTATTAGGACGTTTGATACATAATAACATAAAATCAGGATGTTTGACAACAGTGAATAATCATTTAAGCAGAGAAATAAAGGAAGTGTATTCCAGAGAACAAGAGTTACCGAGAAATGTCATTATCACAGATACTACGATAGTATCTGTGACAAGAGATCGAAAGAAAAATGGCAGAATGGAAAGAGGAGGAAGTAAAGGCCTTTTGAAAGACTGAAATAAAAACATGGAGGCTTTTAAGATAAAGAATAACTCGTAATTGGTGTTAGCTGTTTATGTGGAGTCCAGGGATTTGACAAGTAATGATGATTGTTTCTCCCCGATTTGTTTTCTAAACTGGCAAATTTTGAAGCTAATCTTAAAATACACTTGTTTTTGACTGACTTTACCTTGTGAAACTTGGGACCAGACTCACTGAGGAAGCTGTGAAGCCTCCACTATTTGATGTCTTGCTAGGTCAATGTGCAAGGAATAATTTGGACATAGTTGAGAGGGGGGAAGGGAAGTACAGCCAAGCATTGTTTTTAGTCTAATTTTTCCAGTGACCCCAATGAAAAATTATTTTAAACTGGAAAACATCCATATATTTTTGTCTAGAACATATTATGAAACATTATGTCCAGTTTGCACTACACACGTTAAACCATAATAAAACCATTCAGGCAGGAGCGGTATTCACAATAGTGTGGTTAACAGTACTGTTTTACTGCTAGTGTGTTGTAAGCCTCCCGGATGTAGGTTTGGAGCCCTGCAGCACTCCAGGGAAAATTTTTATGAATTACACAATGTATCCGGAAATTAGTACTTGTCTAATAATTTAGTCATTACATTTGGATTTTCCCCTTTGCAGGCTGATACACGGTAGCCACAGAGTTCACAAAATTACTGAGATGGTTTTGCCGAGAGTACCTGTCAATACGACTTTTAAAAGACTCTAACGGAAGAACAACCTGATTTTAGGTGAGTAAGTGCATGGGGTGATTACAGGAAACTGAAATCACTCTAAAACTCACATAGAAATAATGCTAAAATATTTAACACTTTAAAACCACTGCATCACGATTTCTTTATTTTTTTGAGTTAAAGTTCTACCTTTTTTATAATCATTTAAGACATGTTCTCGCCATGTTGCTCTATTCTCATGTCAATATTGTTGGATTTTTCCAGCTCCTGCTGGATTTTTATTGCCATAGAGGTTGGACAAACAAAATCAGGCAGAACAGATCTTTGAAACAGGTGGTTACAGCCTCCAGTGATCTGTATAAACCAAACATACTGGCAGGCAAGCAAACCTCCTGAGCTTGCCAGAATGTTGACTCTGGATCCCAGTCACTAGTGTTCATTCCAAATCTGTACCATACAATAAAGGTAGAGGAACTCTTAGTGCCAATGCCCATTTCTAATACTGTTGGTTTGGTTAGGCTGTATTTATTGTTCATCTAATCTCTACCTTTATACATGGCTGTAATTAGAGGTTGTAAAAAACCTCTTGAATTGTGAGCTGCAAAGAGCACCTCATAAATTCCAGTATAGCGTTGTGATAAACAATCAGGATATTTCAAAATAAGAGTTTCACAATTTGCATGCCTTTTTCAAATATTAGCAGTTTCCTTTCTTCTTACTGTGAATGTGCAATAATAATTTTGGTTAAAATAAGTATGTCTGGTATCTGTGCTTTAGATTTGAGATATGTATGTATTGAATGAAAGTATCAGTGAATTCCTCATTAATTCATTAATTTTGAATGTGGTTCTTCCTATCATCGAATATAATTTGTGTTACAGAAGGGAAGTAGTTTCATTGATTACAGTGGCAATATTTGCACAAATTTCTGTAGGAAACTGTTTGTTGCATCAGTCATTAATGCTCTGATATCTCTAAGTAGAAATAAGTAATTAAGTAATTCTTCCAGGCAGAATGTAAGATAAGGAACCAAATTTAAAACAAAAAA